TCTATGTGACATATTTTTCTTTCCAATCTGGGCCAACATAGGTTGATATATAAAGTATTTTAAATAGACTTAAGATGTGCCTATGTAAGGATAAAGTGTCCTTGCTTTTCCATTTTCCACTCTCTTTTAATTCCTATTATTTCCATCATTATCACTCTACTTTTGTCAGTGAATTCTAAAAGACAGCTAGCTTAGAATAAATGTCATTAGTCCTTACATAATGGTTGCGGATACAGTTGTTAGGCTGCTTCTTCAAAAATGTTCATTGCAAGATCACGAACTGACATTATTACCTTCACCTTTAGGTGATGACAACTACCTACTTTTTTTGATTCTAATAAAAGTAGATCAATGCTGACAAAAGCTTGACTAATTAGCCCCTGTGACTTTAGGATGGTGGAATAAAGCTTCATAGAGTCAGTCTGATTTTTATTGGCCAGGTATTACCTATTGTGATATTTATTATAGGTATTGTTAACAGAAAAAAATATAATGAGGTTCATAATTGGAAAGGAGAGCTTTATTTGTCACAAAAGGTTGCAGCCTGCAGGTGGCTTTCTGGCAGGCTGGAAAACAGAGCCTAGAGGCACAAGCCAGGAATCGGTGCTTCCAGGCAGAGACAGTGGGAACAGGAATTTATACTGAGCAGGGAGGCCAAATATACATATTTAATAAGCTATAGGAAGAGTCATGAGTATTTATGAAAGGAGAAACACGTGCCTGTGCAGTCATGCTGGATACCACTTCAGGGGGTCCATTCTGGGCAGGGAGACTTAGGATTTTATTTTTAGTTCATCATATTTACTAACTATCAATACTTTCTGATTTCTATATTTCCCCAGTGAGCACATGTTGAATTTTGATTTTTTTCATTTTTGATGAATAGTGACATTTTGATTTACTCAAATGGTTGGAGACATTTATTTTCTAATCATGCAATTCCTCTTTTTCCCTTCCCTCCCTCCCACCTCTCTCATTCCCTTTCTTTTCTCTTTCCTCCTCAATTTTTTCATTTCTCTACTTCTTCTTTCTCTCTTTCCCATCTCCCCCATCCTCCATTCTTTTTTGGTTATTTCTTTCTGTAACTATTTGATGAGTTTATATTCTATGCTAGTCATGATGCTTAGTTCCAGCAACACAAGCACAATTCCTGCTATTGACTAGATAAAACTAAAATAGTGTTATTAATAATGTGATAAGGGACAATAGAATATTTACATGGTACTGTGGGAAATGCCAGAGCAAGAAAGAGACAGTTTCTTGGAAAGGTCAAGGGTGGAACGTAAGGATTGGGAAAGTTTTCATCTCTTAATTATTGAGGAGTCTATCAGAGAAACGAGGACATCTCAAGCAGAGGGAAAAATAAAGCACGTGTACAGAGATATGAAAATGCACAGGGCATTGGTAGAGTTGTGAGTAGCCAGTTTTAGCACATGCAGAATAAGTGACGGGACTTGAGGCAGGAGAAGCATTAGGTGTAGGAAACTTTTTTTTTTTTTTCTTTTTTGGTAACAGAGTCTTGCTCTGTGGCCCGGGCTGGCAGAAAGAAGAAGCCAGATCACATCTCCCTGCAGCCTCAAACTCCTGGGCTCAAGCCATCCTCTGGCCCCATCCTCCTAAGTAGCTGGGACTATATGCACGCTCCACCATGTCCAGAGGTGGGAGATGGGGTGGGGACAATTTTAAAGGGTCTTCCATTCTATGATAGGCACCCAGCATTTTATCTTTTAGGCAATGCTCCCCTTCAAGGATTTTCAAAAATACTAGAGTGACTTATTCTGATTTTAAAAAAATAATTTCCAATATAACTTGATGAAAGATATTCCAAGGAAATTGATAAACAAACATACAAAAACCCTTTTATTGATGATTCCCTCCCAAAGAATTTTATAAGCAAATAGCCTCACACAGTGTTCCCAGGAACAGCCGGGACATGCCGAACAGATTACTTGCCTCAAACCTCAGGCTGTATGTGCCCGGCACTGCTCAAAGAAGAGATGCAATCTGTGCAGATTCACAACTCCAAGCTGTTCCTGAGCCTGTCTCAAGTTTCTCAAAGCTCAAGTCCATTCCAAGTATATCTTGAGAACATCCAATCTGTGCTACAACATTCTAAAATGGCGGGCAGGAGGGGATCCACAATAGTATCAGAACAAAAGAATCTATTTAGTGCATTCTTCCTTTCACCCAAAATGCCTAATGGCAGCACATTGCTTCTTGAGCAAGATTTTAGTTATTTGTTGTGATTGCTAGCCATTTTCAAGGGGATCTAGTGGCAGCTCAAGTTACTTCACCATTGATTTTAATCAATGGAAAAACTGTGGAACATTTCATATAAAATTGCAGTGATCTTCTTTGATAGGTTCAGCAGAAAAAGTGGAAAATTGCAGAAGATTGTAAAAAAACGCACAGTTAAAATGGTTTACAGTTATTGCCAACCTCTCTCAAACCCTGCTATTTTATCATTTATTTAATGTAATCCATGATTTTAGCTACCAGCTTAAATTTCACTTTTGATTTTCTTCCTTGTGTTAAGACTTCCTTGCCCCCTGCTTCTGGCATCCCAGCAGAAATCTTTACTGATTCCTGATTATATCAAAATATATTTTGAAATATATAAAGCACTTGGGCAGTTACACATTCAGGTCTACAGCTCTATGTGGTGATGAACATTTATTAAAGACTGCCATTTTCTGCACAGATTATTTCGTCTTCAATTAAATTGCAAACATTCCAAACTTTTTGTTGCAGGCATTTCAAACTCCCTTTTTAATTACCCATAGGGGTTTAGTCTCTAATAATCAGTAAGCTATTGGCTTCACAAATTATATACAAAAAAATAAAAAGTGTACAGAAAGGTATGTACTATTTACTAGAGAAATATTTTTAAATAATACAATAGGATCAAAGCATTGATCCCAGTAATAAAACTTTTCTCTTCTTTGAAAATTAATTGGGAGTTGAAGATTTACTCCACTTATTTGTCACCTAATCCAATAGGATCTTGTATTACTTACTTTCCTATACAATCATCTGTGCTGTAGATTTTCTCACCATAAGTAAACTATAAACTCCCAGAAAGCATGACGTGCATGCCATTCTCTTCAAGCCCCTGAAACTCCCTAAAGAACCATACATTTTGCTTTGCAAATTTAATATTAAAAATATTCCCTTAGAATTAAACATTTTGATAAGAAACTTGCTTCCTCCACTTCAAGGTGTTTAACATACAACTCAGGAAAGCAAATTTGCCAAACATTGCTTAGAATCCTATCTGTTTATCTTATTTTCTTTCTTTCTTTTAAAGTTCATAAGCTCACTTGCTATGAGCTTTCATTCTCCCATTATTACAAATCATCACGTATCTTTACTCACATGTGTGGATCTCCAGAATTCTTAAATTCAGACTGTTGCTATCTTGTAGACATTTTAACTTTGTGTAATAGAGGAGGAGCTAAACTGCTTTCTCTGAGGATAGAAAGGTAGGTTGGGAGATAAATTATATTTTGAAATATATAAAGGGTAATTATCTGGCCCAGAGAGGCACCTATAACATATACTTCACATAATTCCTCTAATGCAACTTAGGAAAGCAGGTAGAAAACCAGATAAATGAGAGGGGATATGAATGCTAGTATAAAAACTGAGCAAAGGAGCTTAGAAAGAGACAGAAGGAAAGAGACATAAAAGAACACAATTCATTCTGGCAAGGAATTTGAAAAAGATCAGAAATTGACTTTTATAGGAAAGGAGTAAATTTGCAAACAAATGATAGGAAACATAAAAGTGAGCTGTGATCATATAGAGGGTAGAAGACAATACAAATGTTCTTTCTAAAGGAACTCATCATAGTAAGAAAAAATTTCCTCCTTAACACTAGGACTAAAAAGCTACAATGTGTAAGTTATAAATAAGCCTTATAAATCAGTGAAGGATACTGGAGAAATAGGGAACAAAACTTATGCTCTAGAAAATAGATGAAAAGTATATATATATTGATATATATATATTGAAAAAGAGCTGACATAACTCTTGAGAAAACTCTTTTAAAAAGATAATTCTAAATAATGGCAACATCTTCCAATCATATGAGTGAGGAAAACATGTTTCTCAACATATAGGAGGAGGAGGAAGGTCATTCAGTCCCATTTAAACTAGTCAGGTCAACTTCAGTTTTTTCAATATACCCTTTGGGAAAAAAAGGCAGTATTTTCAAACTTCACAAAATTTTCAGAACACAGTTCACTGCTCTGGAATTTGTTCCCATCTAAAATAACAGTACTAGTCCTTCACTGCAAATGAAAAAATAAAATAATAGCATACTTAAAGTGAAGGAAATGAAGTTTTTTAAGATTAAAAAATAGATTTAGGGAGGCAATAGGCTTTGAAAGTTTCAGAGATTGTCAGCAAAATGAAGATACATTCTTATTCATGATATAAACACATAAATTGAAGTATTAAAAACTGATTTGCAGAAGTAATTCACACTCACGTTCTCAAGTCAATTGTCAAACATTTATTGAATTCTTCCCATGTACAAACAAATGTGCCAAGTAGACAAAGATTTATAAGATTTATAAGTTGCAAGTTTGTCTAGAAATCCAATATTGGACCTCTCCATTGTGTTTTGCACATGGAGCAGCAGCCAATATTGTCACTAATAGACTTACATATCAAGGGAATGTGGCAATGTGATGCTTTAAAAATATGCCATTGAAAATGTGGAGTTTAATATTCTTCCCAAGTAACGAAGAAGTATTGTTTATATTTTTCTTAGAGATATCTACATAGAACCTATAAGCTGTGAGAAGTGGGGTTTGGGGCTAGAGACTTTAATAGCTTGGTTAATATTAAACAGACACAAACATGATAAATCTTTGATACAGCATTGCTCTCAGGGAACTCTGACCCAAAGAAATATCTAGTTTTCCTGATGGAATGGTGCATGTAAGTGGGATGCCTCTGTCAGGCTAATGTTTATTCTTTCATCAAACTTACAGAGAGTACTCATGGAGGAGACAAGTTGGCTGACCAGTGACATCAGCTGCTAGATAGTCTGAGAGAGGAGGAAACCTTTTACATGAAAAAGAAAACAAATATGGACTGGGTGTAAATCCGAGGGAAAAGTGGCAGAACCTAGAAGACATTCCACAGGAAGATGTTGCAGAACAGAACAAGAAGGAGAAAGGTATTTATTGGCAGAGATCAACCCCTAAGAGGCTTTGAACCCGATGAAAAGGGGGAGGGTTGTTTCTCCCTCCCTCACATCTCTGGCAGTCAGTAGGCTCCTTAGCTACCCTCACAAGCCCAAAAGCTGCTGCTGCCAGTGAAGTGGGAGCTTCTTGAGGACAAAGCACCAGGCTGCCAGCCCCGTTGGAGTCAGTTCTCATCACCAAAGACTGGAGCTGTGATGGCAGAAGCCGTATTGCTCCACCCACCATGCACCTTTGTCCTCCCCAGTGAGCTTCAGACCCTCACTTTTCGTCTTGCTCATTCCCACACAATTTCCCAATCCACATCAAAATACCAATAGCATATTTCACAGATCTAGAAAAAAGAATTCTATGCTTCATTTAGAACCAGAAAAGAACCTGAATAGACAAACAATCTTAAGTAAAAAGAACAAGTCTGGAGGCACCATATTACCAGCCTTCATACTGTATTGCAAGGCCATAGTAACCAAGACAGCATGGTATTGGCACAGAAATGGGAACAGACCAGAGAATCCACATATAAGACCATCCACATACAGCCAACTGACCCCAGTGGCAATTACAGCAACAATATAAATAAAAAGGACTTGATTAAATTAAAGCTTCTGCACAGCTAAGGAAATAATCAACAGAGCAAATAGACAACCTACAGAATGGGAGAAAATATTGGCAAACTATGCATCCAATAATGGGCTAATATCCAGAATCTACAAAGAACTCAAACAAGTCAGCAAGAAAAAAACAACCCCATTATAAAGTTGGCAAAAGACATGAACAGAATTTTTTCCAAAGTACACAAACGGCCAATAAACCATATGAAAAAAGGCTCAATGTTACTAATCATCAGGGAAATGCAAATTAAACCCTCACTGATATAGTGCCTTAGTCGTGTTAGAATAGCTTTTATTAAAAAGTTCAAAAACAAAAAAGGCCGATGTGGATGCAGAGAGAAAAGAACACTTATATACTGTTGGTGGGACTGCTTTAGTACAACCTATATGGAAAACAGTATGGAGATTACTCAAAGAATTAATAAAAGTAGAGCTACCATTTGATTCAGCAAGTCCATTACTGGGTATGTACCCAAAGAAAAAAATCATTTTATCAAAAAGACACCTGCACCCAAATGTTTATTGCAGCACAATTCACAATCGCAAAGGTGTGGAATCAACCGAAATGCCCATCAATTCATAAACAGATTAACAAAATGTGGTATATGTATACAGTGGAGTCCTATTATTCAGCCATAAAAAGATGAATTAATGCCTTTTGCAACAATTTAGATAGAACTGAAGACTATTAACCATTACCCTAAGTGATATATCTAAAGAATGGACAAGCACCAAATGTACTTGGTATTAAAGTGGAACTAACCAATGAGCCCACATGTGCAGAGGGAAGTAAAACTCAGTGGAAATAAAGCACGGGAGAGATAGGATGAGAGGATTTGGAAAAGCCTACTTAATGGGTATAATAAACACTATTCGGGTGATGGGCACACTCATAGCCATGACTCAAGCATTACAAGAGCAATCCATGTAACCAAAAACATTTAAAATTAAAAAAAAAAACAAAAAATGAACCTACAAAGAGTACTCGTGGCCCAAATAAATGTAGGGCACCTAATCTTTTACCCTTTTCCTAATTTATGCCTACTCATATCCACTTGTATCAATTTAATTTTTTCATACTGTTATGAATCCAAACTATTATCTCCTTCATTAGTGTATTTCCATAAGTTCATAGGAACAAAAGGTTCCCCATGCAGTGTCAGTGAGAGATATGTTTACATATTATTTCTATTAAAAATCCATGCCTATCCATGCCCTTTTCCCTGCTTTTGTGAAAAGCTTGAAATATGAGGCTAAATTTCCCGATAACCAGGGCTTTTAGCAACATCCTCATCTAATGTAGAGGTTTACAGTCAAACAACCAGGTGAAATATGGAAGATGATTTGCATGTTACTGGATCAATTATTCTGTCCTGCATCATTTTAAATTATTATGGAAAACAGGTGGGAAGGAAATGGTCTTCCTCATTCTCATCTCTGGGAAGGTTTTACACATTCTTTTAGGCTGTTTCCTCCTAATTTTGAATGTTTATGCATTTTCAAGATGTACTTCTCACATCCATTTAAGTCAGTAACTCAGGGCTTTCGTTTTCAAATGTAAACATCTGATATCATTGTGAACGCTATTATAAAAATTAGATAAAAATATCAACAAGTAGCAACATGTCTTTGAAAAATATGGTTATCAACAGGAAGATACTGAAAGTTATCCCAGTGAGAGCAAGGGTGGAATTGAGTAAATTAATTGATGAAAGCTCAGTGTAAAAGATATAATTTTGAAATTATATGTATGCTTTGGAATATCTCAACATGTAGGAAGAATCTTTTGATGGTGCCTGTCTTTATAATCAGGCACATTTGCATTTAGTTCTGTACCAGAATGAATTGAAAAGGTCTGATTTTGCAGTATCAAAATTTCACAAAAGTACCCATAACAGAAACATATTTTTGTCTTGCAAAAATGTTTACAGAGGAAAGGTATGCTGAAAGTGGGCAGAAACCAGTAACTTTGAAAATATTTTAGCTGAAATATTTATACATGTTAATACAAAATAGAATTGAACATGTATTCCATCTAGCATATTTTGCACCTGCAGAGAATAATTTCTAAATTAAAAATATAATCTATAGAGAAGAATCAATTGGAAACACTGACAATTTTAAAGTTTTTAACCATAAAAACTTTGTATCTTGGAAGAAAGTTGCAACCATGGTAGCCTCAAATAGCTATTGTTTCTGTACCTTATGTTAAATAGAGTGGCTGCTTCTCTCCCCCTGAAAGAGATCTCTTAGCAGCATTTAACAAGTATTCGAAGTCCCACTCTATCAAGCACAGTCAGCAAAGACTACAGTTCTCCAGTAGTCACTCCTACAGAAGCCACCCCACTCAAGCTTTCTACCTGGGGCTTATAAACACCTGGAAGGCAATTTAAGAGAGCGCCACCTGTCTACCGATAACAGAATCTGCAGAGAAGGATCCTTCATCACGCTTCATATTTCCATATTTTAGCTTGTGCGAAGTCTAGGCTTTGTACGCCATCTTTCTTTTACCTCTATACCAAAACTCAAAAATCATCCTCTTTTTGTTGACATTTACCCTAAGTTTGATCTTTGAATCACCTATTACATATTCTGTCAAAAATACATAATTCTGTGCTAACATTTTCTTAGCAAAGATCTTACAACGAAGGCAGAGGCCTTCTACAAAGATACTATTTTCCCTCCTTCCCAATCATCCCGCTAATTAAGACCTAGAGAAGCAAAAGGAAATGGAAAGGGGTGGATGAAGAGAGAAAGAAAAGGCTTTTTGATTTCTCTTGGTTCACAGACTATGTGCCTCTACCTGGATTGCAGGCCAGGGCCAAGCATTTTCTGACTTGTAGGCAGGTGAAAGATACTATGAGGTCTCCTAAGGAAATAGTAAGATGAAAGTGGTCTCAGAGGCTACTTTATCTTAGGTGTCTTGATTAAAGTTCTAACCATTTGTTCAAAGGCAGCTGTAACAAATGAAATGATTGCTAGACACCTGGTCTATCAGTCCCAGCTCTCAGACCATCCCTGCTTCCAAGTCTCTTGGAGTTTTTCTACCCACATTCTCAGTACTCTGAGAGTCCCACACCATGACAAATGGTTCTAACAAAGTATTAAATATAGTTTAGTCTCTTGTCACTGTTTCAGCCAGGATCTTACCTGTAATCATTTTATCTCAGTTCTTTCTTTATCATCATCTTAGACATTTTACAGAGACGAACTTACACAATAATATGTAAATGAGTGTATATATTTAACTTACTTTATAATTTTCATTTGCAAAAATCAACACATATTCCTTGACTTAGAATGAGGTTCTGTCCCTATAAACCCATCACACATTGAAAATATCACAAGTCAAAAATTCATTTAATACACCTAAAGTAAATCCAACATCATAGTTTAACCCAGCCTATGTTTTTTCCCCAATAATTTTCTATTTATTCACCTATGTGTTTAACAAAAAAAAAACATTCTACATATTCTGCATACTTTTTTAGTTAGCAAAAAATTTGTGATCATTTACAACTTCAATAAATGTACATCCACAACTTCATTTTTAAACCTTTTAGTAGGAAAATCTTCAAGTATTTATAAAGGCAGACAGAATAAAACAAACTCCTGTGTACCCATTACTAAGATCAATGATTATCAACTCACAGCCAATTTTGTTTCATTTATATTTCATTCTCCTTCTCATTATTTGGAAGCATTTATCATTTTATCTGTAAATACGTAAACAACTAGAAAACATAAGCACTCTTTAAAACTATAACCACAGTAACATCATTTTATAGCTGCACTTACATTTCTGACAGCGTCCTTGCCAAGAGCTGAAACAACTTTATGGACAGGCTGAATCCAACCAGGGCCCCTGAAACCCAGGGCCTACAAAAACATTCCCTCTGGTGTCTGGAATGGAGGGAACAGCAACTGGTGGAGGAATGGAGGGAAGGAGTGGAGAGAAATAAAGCCTCCGAGCTCTGAGTCCTAAAGAAAAACAACACAAGATCCTGGATCCAGGGAAGTTTACGAGAAGTATCTACTAGCAAGGTCAGGAAGACAGCTGATCTGTATTAACGGGCTCGTGCAGACGTCAGTGCATTGACCTCCCATCACGCTGGGGGAAGCTGCAGGTTTCTCTAGGTCCCTTAATGGTTACCACTTTTTATTTTCTTTTTTACCACTTGTTAACTACTAATCAACGAGATGTATTTCTCATCGAGGGCAGCAACCTGTTGGGCTGCCATTCTAAGAGATTGAGAAGAAGAGCCTTGGCCAGAAACCAGGCACACATGTTTTAAAGAAGAGACAAAGGGGAACAGGATTTTACACTAAGCAGAGTAATCAAATACACATATTCCACAAGCTAT